TGTTATAAATTAAAGAAATTATAAATTTTCAATTTTTAATTTTTTTTTTATATAAAAATTGCTTGACACGGGCCGACCCGTGTGGCTAGCTGAGCCACACGGGCTGGGCCGGGCTGGGCCAGGCTCGGCTCGAGCTTTTTTAGAGCCGAGCCCGAGTCGTCCTAGCCTCTGGACTTTTTTGCCACCGCTACATGGAAGGAGATAGAGGCTCAGGGATCAAAATGCAGAATTTAGGAAATTGCACCCGCGCGTGCGTTAAAATGTACCAAGGGTGAAGGGTGGCACTGCTGGGACCAACTTCCGAATTTGATAAGGAAATCAAATTTTGGCCAAACTAGGGTATCCTGTGCCTTTTTTTGAGCTATTTGGGAGACTCACATATATAATTATGTTGTCATGTCAGAATCGAGCTGAAATTCAAGTCGGACTAATTTAGGGTCTTCTTGACTTGGTAAAAGGACCCTTCCTATCAAAGAGACTAGAAATGTCAGTTTGAAACATTCAAGACCCCATTGATACGGATCAGAATCAAACTATGGAAGACGTTATATGAAAACATCATCATGATTTGACATAAAATGTATTCTCATTGACTTGCATCGTCCAAACCAACCAATCAGGAAGATGGCGTGATGACTTAGGACACATGCCTGAGTATCATGACAATCTGTCACAATCGAACTCACCAACCAATTAAATTCTTTCAAAAAAAATGGTGCACTAGACCTTAAGTGAGACACTGTAAGTTTATATTACCAGCACGCAAGCGTGAGGCCATTAGCTTATTCATTTGTTGACATAGAGATTGTTCTAATATAGTTTAACAAGTTAAGATAAATCATTCACTTCTTCATCGAGAGATTTTTACAGCTTATGATGGAGTTTGAACTTTGGTTTCTGTTTCCAATTTTGGTGATTTGATAATAGGAGTAAACTTAGCCACAATTTCTAACTTTTGTTTCTCTCCTCTATATCATCATCAAAATCAGGTTTGAGAATATATTCATTAATGTTAAAGGGGCGAATTTGCTTTCGATAATTATATTTTCATTTAATGTCAACCGACAACTATACTTCAATTTTTTTTCAATCAAATAACTGTATTTTAATTTGATTTCAATCAAGTATTTCCACTTTCATTTTATTTTGATTAGGTACTACACTTTGATTTGATTTTAATTAGATAACTCCGTCATATTTCACAGCAAAAATCGTTGATGTGTCGTTAATAAATTATGGTCATTTTTTTTTAAATCTTGGATGTTCGGATTAGGTTGCACGCACTTCGACTAATCTCACGAGACCATGAAATTTACGATCGAATACTCAACTTAGTGACCCTAAGGGGACTCGTACTAGAATAAATTATGGTCATCTCACGTAAGAGTTAGTTGATAACTTGGAATAAGTACTGCTTGAGTGAAATAAATTACGCTTATCATTTATTGACTATTAGGTTAATCGATGCCCGTCAATCCAGGTCATTGAATTAGACGAGATTGTCCAACTGAAATCAAATTAAAGTATAATTATCCAATTGAATAAAATTGACGTATTTTTACCTTATTGAGATTAAGCAAAACTTATAGTCCGTTTGGCAAAAAATTATAAACGATTTAGGTCATAAATAAAAATGAATGAGTGGTAGATAAGTAGATAATACTTGTTGATTCATTTAAATGGATTATTAGAAATAAAGTTTGACCATCTATAATTAGAAATTTATAGTCCTTCAAAAGTTCGACTTGTAAAGAAATGAAAATTGAGGAACTGCCTAGAACCAGAGAGTAGAGAGAAAGAGAATTTATTTGTAAATTCTTAGGTACTAGATTATTATGCAGAAATTTAATACTAATGTTAACATCACATTTTCCTCTTTCCCTCATGCACAACACCGAAAATTTCACCCATTAATATCTATAGTTTGGACATGATGAGCGTGCTTCACATCCCTCTTGGGCACAGTGATAGTGAGCACTCCATTAACCATTGATGACTTCACTTGATCACCTCTACAATTCTCAGGCAAAGTAAATGTACTCATAAACTTGCATCTGCCGCTCTCAACGTGCTGCCAATGATCGTGTCTCTCTTCTTTCTCCGCCTTCTTCTCGCCACTTATCTTCACAATTTTACCTGTCCAAGACATAAATTTAAATAAATAAGTTTATCCGCCCTCGAGTCCAAAGATTGGCATGTAAGAGGGCGTGTTGAAAAAAATATTCAGACAAATAAGTGGTTCAACATTACAATCCTCCACTTGCACTTCTACTTCTTCTTTCTTGAATCCCGGAAGGTCAGTTCTGAACATGTATGTCTCCGGGGTTTCCTTCCACTCGATCTTGGGACTAGGCAGTTGCCTTGTTTGGTTATGGAAAGGAGCATGTGGCGGCATGAGGAGAGTTTCGTAATCGAGTAACTCATAGATGGGATCGTGGATATGGCTCCTCCTTTGACAACCGTGGGTGGGCATGAGGGCCATTTTTGCTGGCTATAGCTTCACTGTCAACTAAAGAGAGAAAAATGCAGAAACCAAAGCTTTTGAATTAGGGTTTGCTAAGAGTCGAGCCTTATATGAGTATTTATAGGAAGAACCTCGAATATCTTCAACCTTAGGTGGATTCGAATCTCGTTGCCATCTGTTTATGAAAATTATACATGTATGTATCACATTTTTGATAGAGGGGGTGTTGAAAATAGAACATTCATATAAAAACAAATAATTTTTTTTTAAAAAATTTAAACTTTTAGATAGTGTGATTTGAGGACACGGGTTTTATAAAGATAGGTAGTTTGCAGCCGTGAAATGTGGATTCGATGAACTTGTGAAATTTCAAGAGAGAATCAATATCTTTCTGTAAAGTGGGAAGAGATAAGAATTTAGGATGTAGATAGTTTGTACGTAGCAGAAAAATGTGCCTTGTAATCGAATATTTGCCGCTCAGTACAAAGTTATTTCATGACCTGTTTTGATTTGGACATAAGATTCTAGTACAGGGTCATTCTAAGAACATGTCTATGGTCACTAGTAACGTAATTTTCTGTTGGAATGGGACGAGCTTTATCGTGGTTTTTATCTTGGGTTTTATCGTCGGCTTTAGCTTGAACTTGGTCTTGTCCTGAAGTAAGTTTGAGCTTGATCTTGTGTCAAGGTTGAGTAAAATCAGTGGCCAAACAGTGGAGTTTAAAGCTTCAAGAATTAGCGTTTTTCTTCTATAAATAGTAGTGGCCTCACTGTATTGAGTGCGCTGAATTTGCACAAGTTCTTCTTGGGCCTTAGCTTGGACTTGGTCCTCACCTGGCCTGGCTGAAATTTTAGCAAAAATAAAAAGTTTCACAAATAGCCTAAGTACCATTCAAACTTTTTTATGACCAAAATATTGTTCTTACTCATTACTTTCTTTTTTTTTTTCACCATTGGTTCAATTATGGTAACAAAAAGCGTTACACATGCAACACAATGTGTTGTGCACATTCTGCCTGTCTCCACACCTACCGTTATGAATGTTAAGAATATAGGGTTATTTT